TAGAAATCAGGGACATTTTAGAAACTAACTTAAATCCTATCTTAATTGGTTTTTATATTAAATTAATCAAAGTTTAACTACCTTAGACGAAAAAAAATTAACGACTTGTCCAGCTTTGAAGTATACATATTACATATAGTAATATAGTTTGGTGCAACGAACGTTTTAAATGTGCATGCATGACGACCGCACGCTATAAGTACAATATGTTATAATAATAATAATAATAATTATTATTATTTATTATATATACGTATATTATTCAAAACACCCCTCAAAATGTTTTATCTCTACTTCCGGTATATCGCCACAGGATCGCGAACCCAAGCGTATAATATATACCCAAATAAATATATATATATATAAATACAAATAATTCCGTTTTAATGGCTACGAGATTCTCGAAGAATTCCGCAACAGCCACCGTTCTGTGCACCTGCCTTTAGTCGGCAAGCGTCATTTAATTCTTTACGCGGAAACTGTTCATGTGGCGCAAAAGCAATGGCGGTCGTATGTATATTGTACATACCACGACCTACAATCTGGGGGGGAGGGGTAGAGGGATTGCTCGTTTCGTGAGAATTCTGCAATAATTATTGTTACATAAATACTTACGCGTTTTCACGGTACCTCGGTGAATGCATAAGTGTTTTTGGCCCGTCCAGCCAAGAAATACGCCAACGCTGAAACAACAACAGATAGCTATAAAATTTAAGATACATATTCAGAGGCGTTGATGGGAACCGATGGGTGGTCCGAGATCACAGTTAAATTTAAAAACGCCTAAGTGTTAGTATTAAAAATGGAGTTACTTTACAGTAGCAAACACGTATCAAAATATAATTTAGTAAAGCATATCTCTCTGAAGTCAACGGTTAAACCTAAAACGCAAAAAACCTGTTAGTTGGAACATGTAGCCCACAGCATCCGTGGTTAGTGTATCATAATACAGGTTATAATATTGTTAAAAATGTCAACCATATATTATGTCGATGTCCCACACAACATATAGGAGTTTGACTGTTGTACCGCACTCGACTATATKATATTATTATCAAAAATTATTTCATTAGTACGCCACGATACTCACGCCGTGCACGTAAGTATATACGTATGTATATAGAATACATTTTATGTAAATGTGAACCGTATTTTAACGATTTGTCTCTCGACTGAGGACGCCAACGGACAAGGCGTATATACGATGTCTACAAAATGTATGTGTATATAATATATTATTATTCATATTATACACGTTGGTACGTATACTATATAGATTCGCGTTTCGTCCAGACTCTGCTCACGTCACGTTAATTGAATACATTTGTAAAACTGTCACGCGGAGTAAACGAGCTGGGGATGGAAAAAAAAATTCCAATCGTTTAAATTATCGATTGGCACGATTAATATTACGAATAAATGGGGTTTTTTTTTCTGGCGTATACGCATATTATATACCTATACGTATAGATTCTCACTTCTCATCTTACACGCGTGGGGAAGGGTCGTAAACGGTACCTGTGAAGTATCGTCATCGCATACACATATCATATAATGTATTACTATTTATTTCATTATTTTTATTATTATTATTATTATTATTATCATTTACCTCTCCCTCCTTGAGAATTTATATTATATATTTCTTCCGTCTACGTTCTCCGGTACATCAATAACCACATCCCACGTAGTAAACTCGATTTTGATGTATACGTGCGATCGTCGTCGACGGTATAGCTGCGCTGGTGCGAGAGGTAACTTTTTTATTAAACATATATTACTTGTACATGTATTATATATATATAAAAWTTTTTTCACTCTTTTCGCTCGTTGTCGGGAGCTTAAGTGTTCTGTCAAAACCGATGGAAAGATTTTTTCTTCACTTCTCATATATTATTATTATTATTAAATATAATAGCTCTTTTGCGACTTTCACCATATATATGCTATATCGTTTCCGTGCGTAAACACTTTGAGGTGAAAATCTCGGGATAGAGAGCGTGTGTGACATACATTTACGACTGTAGTACAAGTGATGTGTGTCGAATAGTCTTACAGTTATATAATATATTATTACTGTATACATAATATTATGACGTGTGTACAGTCCGTTGAGTGCTTGTATAGACRAATATTCGATTTTTCGCCAATGTGCATCCATWGGGTGAGTTGTGACTGACACACAAGCCAAGTGTTCGAGTGCGCCAATAAGGGCCGAGGTTATCGCATAAAAGCGAGTAAGCTATGTAATATTGTAAGACATCGACGACAACTATATTTGACGGTAATTCCAGTTCTAGTGTTATGTTATGTATATTATATATAGAATATTTGGTYAGCGTGTGTTTCGACAGTTCAACCCTTTTTTCTTCTCATACACTGCGTATTATATGTTTATGTGTTTTATTCACGGTATAACGGTATACAAATCGTTATCATATATGTATAATATTTTTGTTACATTATATTATTATTATTATTACCGTTAGAGAATGTGCTCAAATATTTTCGATCTATTATATAATATATTGAACACACATTATACTTTAATGTACTGATACACAAATACACACTCATACAGAGCAGTTAAGTACCTATAATAAGAAAATTCTA